TCCACGTACTGAGCCATTTGGCCTGCATCTTTTTATGATGCAGACACAGGTATTCAGGATCATCAACAGGAGATTCGTTGATACATCCGGGAGTTCCAGTTAGCTATGACAAGCCTCTTTGCTTCCGGAGGATTTCATTTACCTTTCAGTTGTATCAGTTGTTAGGAGGTCGTGGGTCTTGTCCCGGCTTCCATCTTTATCAGTTAGAGGCTTCATAGATAGACAATAGAGTTTCAGAAGTCTCTTCATTTATTTTGTTAAATGTTTTGAAGACTAAAGTTGCCTTTTATGGCGAGTTGTATATATATTCTATTATACAGAGTTTTCTTTTGAGTTAAAGATTTATAAAGTTGAGTTTATAAACTCTTATTCAGTTTTAAGCTCTTGTATGCTTAAGTTAGTATTCCGCTTGGAGTCAGCCAGGATGAGGGTTCGCTTGGGGACCAGAAATGGTCTTCGAGTGCCGGCCACGTCCAGGGTGTAGGCTCGGGGCGTGACATTTCATCCCCAATCCAAAAAGGAGAAGAAAACCCAGTTTTCTTGAAAAACAAAAAAAAACACACGCCTACTTCTTTTTCCCCTAAGAAATAGAATTATGAGTTCTAGTTAAATATGGGCACTGGAGGGACCACATAATTAATTAATGAGGCTTCCTATTATGGAAATAATTCCAAATAATTAATTTGAATTATTCTTACCACAATAAATTACAAATTATTCCACTAGAAATTTGTAATTGCACTCCTCTATTTATATTTCGTAATTTCCCATTAAACACTTATGTAATTCCCCATGTTAAGATTTCAGATACTAATCAATAAATCAAATTAGGATGAATTTAACTTAATGATTAATTTCCTTTAGAGCACTACTTAACTTATTTCATGTGTCGGATTCATAAATCCACTTGCAAGGTTTGACACGATGAGAACTTATAAGTTTCTCAAAAAGGCATATCAATCAATCTCTATAACGGGACATGGATTCCATCAACTAACTTATTATTTCACCAATATATATTATTATCATCCAACTTACAGGGCATATTGACCCATCTCAGAATCTCACCTTTTAATAAATCAAAACGATAATTAATATATACAGATCATAATAGTTATATCAGGATTAAGAATATAAGTATATTTAATAGTTTAGAGAATATGTTTTGTCAGTCAGTCTAAAACAACTATCTCTACTCAGTCCTGTTCAATACATACAAAATGCACTAGCTCAAGAAGTTGGAACTATATCGTTCCCATAATCAAGATAAATTACATATAATCTTGTGCTAAAATCGTACCGATGTCATATCCAATTTCCATCGTAGATTGTGAACAAAAAACTTAATACTTATAAGAACCGATGATTTAATCATTTGTGTGTAAGCTAAAACACTACACACTAAATCATCTACTATATAAGTAAACCGACACCATAAACGAATATATGATCTATTAAAATTGAGCAAATATTTATTCTATAATAAATATTATTTCTTAACACATGGTTAATAGTATATATCCCAACACTTAATGCACCAATTCAAGATGTGTCAGAAGGTCCAACTCCGACTGTAGAAATGGCAATAGATGAAAATTATCGATTTCAACAATTTCTAGCTCGACATAAAAAAATAAAGGACAAAGAATCTCATTTTGAACTATGCAATGCATTAATAGAGCATTTATGGGAGCACCATAATGATCTTGAAAGTTGAATATTTATGTAGAATTTAAACTATTCTTTTCAATTATGTAATGTTTATTTAACTGTATTTCATTAATGATTTCACTTTTGTTTGTATTATCCATTATTATGTATAATATTTGCTAGCAATTTATATTATTTAAAAAATTATGGTATAAAATAATTTTATATTAAACGACTATAAAAGAAAATAATATGAATTATATATGGTGAATGTTTTAATGAATTTTTTTTATGAAATAAGAAAATATAAATGATATAAGAAATAATAATAGGGAAAAGGTACAAGTATCCCCCTAGACTATTACCAAAATTCTTGAGACACACCTTAACTAAACTAAGTCCATATTACCCCCCCCCCCCCCCCCCGAACCCATTTTTTTTTATAATTTTGTACACATTTTTGGCTTACGTGGCATCCAAATATCTCCCCCGCGCTTGAACTGCGTGGAGTCACGGAGTGTGCCACATAAGACAAAAGGTGTACAAAATTATATAAAAAATGAGTTTAGGGGGATAATAGGACCTTAGTTTAGTTAAGGTGTGTCTCTGAGATTTCGGTCATAGTCTAGGGGGGTACTTATGCCTTATCCCAATAATAATATAATAATGAAGAGAGAGAAAAATATTCATTTTTTATGTAAAATTTGGTGCAGTGGGTTGAAGTTGATTTACACTAAAATAGTGATGACACCAAATTTGATGTAAAATTTGACGTTTGGGTTGGAGATGCTAAGGATAAAACATTTTATAGCTCAAACACTAGGAGGGATTAAATTGTTTAACATTTGAATTTAGTTGGCTTGAATTAATATTCTCTTCGACCTATATTAGTTGATTACTTTTTATTTTGTACTGTTTTTAAGAAATCATACATTAAATAAGAAGATAATTTTACTAATTCGCCACTTAAAAAATGTTTTAAATTTTTGGGAAAATGCATAAGTACCCCCCCAGCCTATACCCGAAATCCCAGAGACACACCTAACCTTTACTAAGGTCCTATTACCCCCCGAACTTATTTTATATGTAATATTCTACCCCTTTTTGGCCTAAGTGGTACTATCTTGTGGGCCTAGCGCATGTTGACATTTTTTTCAAGGATAGTGCCACGTAGGCCGAAAAGGGGTAGAATATTATAGATAAATTAAGTTCGGGGGGGGGGGGGGGGGGGGGTAATAGGACCTTAGTAAATGTTAGGTGTGTCTCTGGGATTTCGAGCATAGGCTGGGGGGGTACTTATGCATTTTCCCTAAATTTTTTACAAACAAATGTGAACACTTTCAAAAGGGATAAGGCACAAGTACACTCCTAGACTATGACCGAAATCCCAGAGACACACCTTAACTAAACTAAGGTCCTATTACCCCCCCTGAATTATTATTTTTTGTAATTTTGTACACCTTTTGTCTTACGTGGCACACCCCGTAACTCCACACAATTGAGGCGCGTGGGAGATATTTGGATGACACGTAAGCCAAAAAGGTGCAAAAAAAATGGGTTCAGGGGGTAATAAGACCTTAATTTAGTTAAGGTGTGTCTCTCGGATTTCAGTTATAGTCTAGGAGGGTACATGAACCTTTTCCCTAAAAAAAGAACAAATTGTTAGAATAATATAGAAAAAAATTAATATTTTAACTCTTCTCCGTTTCTATTTAAATTTATTTTTGTTTTCAGATTTAATTATGGTACATATTACTAACAACAACCTCCAGTTTGAAGAATTTGTCTGTCCAATAAGGTTGTTTCATTGAAATTTCAATATCAACTTTGCTTTTTTTCTCATCCCAAGACTGATTTTATTAAAAACAAAAAGAAAGAAAATAAAAAAGCAAATGTTCACATTGGAACATCTTTTGAAAAGTTTAAGTGCCAGTAATTTTCAGCAACTCCATTAAGTTTTAGGAAATTTAATTGGTAAATACAAGAATAAGAGCACCTAACAAGAAAATTAGCACAAAAAACCATAGCAACAAAGGCGAAGTCAGGATTTAAACATGACGAATGCATGTTAGTTGAAATATCAACACTTCATCAAAAAAATATCATCAAATACATATAAAATCAACGAAAAAGGGTCAAAACTACCATTTAACTATTCGAAATAAATCAAATATACCCCTAAACTATATTTTGGCTCAAAAACACCCTTCCCATCTCACTATTGGATCAGTTCTACTCTTCAGTTTAACAGAATGAAATCCAATGTGTATATTATTATGCCACATAAGCAGACCCAACCTTCCTAATAACCATAGTTTCACCCATTTCCCTAATTTCATCCCTTTCTTGAAAAAGCTTCCTCGCAAAATCTTTAAATTGGTGAACTATAGAATTTGGAGCTTAAATTGGTGAATTATAGGATTTGGAACTTAAAGAAGTCAATCAATCAAGTAATCGATTAAGAATGATGAAAAAGCTTGTGGAGCGACATACCAATAAAAAGAAAAGTGTTATGGGATTGGAATCGATGATTTAAGCCTCTTTCTTAAGGGTCTTTAAAGACCGGCCGGCCATTAGATGGAAGTTGGAGCAAAAGAGAGTGAGAAAATAAAAGATTGAGAAGTGACAAAAAATGGTGCCCAAGTATAGTTTTCGTGGAGTTGTTTCTGAGCTTAAATTTGTAAAAGGAGTAAGTTTGTCTCACTCCACGGAAATAAAAATGAGGAATGTTTCCAGAATTTTGCTCCATGAAATTAGGAGGAGGAGAGCTACAATGAAAACGTTCTCACTTCAACTTCATTATAACCAAATAAAATACTTATTTCAACATAAGTACAAGATACAAACTTCATAAGTAGTGCAACATGAACAAATATTCAATTCATACTTGAAGGGATTGACTTGTGCAATGGGATTCAACTCGGTGCCTACCAGGCGAATTTGGAGCAAGTTGCTACGATCCATACAAGTGTTGGTACTTGCCATTGGGCGACAGAATATATTCGTGCAGGGATATGTCTAGGTGAGCATCATACGAAATATGGCTTGAGAGGAACACGACGCAAGGCCACAAGGAGGAGGGAATTATATTAGCCAAGATATTCATTCATGTTGTAGGGTCCGTGAAGAGCAAGATAAGAGTCATAAACAATGTAATGATAGAATAGACTGTTGAAAATTCGTTTTAGTCAATTGTGAGGCTTGATGCTCCGCGGCTCATAAAGAGCTTTTGACTTTTGAAAGTAGCATGCTGAACCACAATTCTGACTACTATTTTATTTTAGAACATCAAGACATTGATCACACCTACGGCTACGGCTAAAAGAAAGAAAATACTTTGCGTTTACAAATTTGATTCAAAAAAATTAGTATTCACAGCTTATGTTTTCTTTCAATGAACATTTTAAAGAAGCTGCTACAATTGTCTTTCTATTATTATTATAATACTGCTACAATTCAACAAAATGACACTAAAAATGTATTGAATTCCATATCAAAGCCTTCTCCTCTATTTACATATTCCCCACAAAATGTTTCTAAGATAAATTATGCCATAATTCTCAATCTTCTACTCGATTGCTCTAAAATGAACTTTCTCTTTTCTTAGTGCTCCTCCCACTCAACAAGTAATAATTGAAAAACGACATTATTGTCTTCTTCCTCTAGTCCACTGCTCTACCAATCACACATTGCCTTACTCTCCGACTACTATAGTCTACAAATTTTTTTTGTTGCGGAGCAAGTAATGATTGAAAATTGGCATTTTTTTCGACTAGGTAATTACCATCTGGTTACTCCATTATGCTCTTCAGGTACCCAATTTCTTCTGCTTCTTCTCAAATACCTACTGAATATTGAGCTGCTTGAAGACACACTCCGACTCCTCAAAACAGCAGATCCAGAACCAGTACCGGATGATTCGGAACTACTGGAATGTATGGATAAAGATCGGGGTTGAGAAGATGGTGTTAATCGCCGGAAAAATGATGTGAAGTTGTTGAAAATTCGGCTTATTCCACTGCCATTTCGACCTGTATTGCTCCTTCTTGATCTCCAAGCTATTCTTCTAGGTACCCCATTGTTAAATCCGCCGTCCATTTCTGTATACACTACCGGAAGTTCCCTCTCAGCTCCTCTTCTTCCACCGGAAAATCTTCCCACGGCGAACCCACCTCCTGGAAGTCTCCATATTGTCAATCCCATTGCTTCTTCTTCGTTTCTAGGTCTAGCAATGTTGTCGGAGTTTGTAGTTTCCGTTGATTCCGCCGGTAATTCGTGTCGGCATACGGGGCACGAATTTCGAAGAGATAGCCATGGAAGAATACAATCGGAATGGTAGATGTGTTTACAGGGCATTTCTCGAGCTTCAGATCCTAAATCGAAAGCTTCTTTACAAACAGCGCAATGGGTCTCGGAATTTACGTGATTACAAGCTATTTGAATAATCGGCATCGATTCAATCGCTGATTTCGACGCCGGTGGATTTTCCGGCCGACCAAAACCGTTCACCTCGATCTGTGCTAACTGATCAAGTAACCGATCAAACCCAGATCCCATCAAAAACTCCGACATCGTCGGCGGCAACGGCCTGAGACCTGAACCTTCACCATCATCATAATAAAGCTCGTAACTCCGCTCCTCTGCAGCTGCAGCAGCTTCATCCTCCCCAGGAGTTTCAGATGGACTACGAAGAACAATAACCGGATTAAACGGAGATCTATCACCCCGATTACGCCTGCTCCGTCGAGAACCCATGTTCACACTCCGATCTGACTCTGGCCGTTCGTTCCACATGGGAAACCTCCGGCGAGATTCCGGCGACCCAATATTTCCCTCAGCAACTTCTATAAATCCACCATCACAGTGAGGACAAACAACATCGTTCCCAACTGAAATTCTAACAACCCTTGTACACTGGTGACACCAGTACGAAGACATCTGCAGCCGCCGGAGATCCGTCAAAACTTAACCCAATAAACCCGGTTAGATCCGATAACTCAGAACCCCAAATTATGCTCCGATTAGGCTCGCCGGAGAATAAAAAAAAGGCCTCGTAAGAGAAAAAAGAAAAAGTACAGAGAGGAAAATGGGGGAACGTTGAAGAATGTGAAAGGTAAAGAAGAAAGGAGAAAAAAGAGAGTTTATAAACACGAAGACGCGTGGGAGAGAATAAGGAGCGTTGTTACTATCATATACTCCAGTTCGGTAGTAGTAAAGCGGTAAATACTATTTCATCGTTAATTTTATCATAATTTTAAATTTTAAATATGAAATTATCTTTAAAGTATTTTGATATGGGTATTAAATATCAAATAAAAGAAAAATAATTATTATCATTATCATTTGATTGTGCTAAATATTATTTCATCATTAATTAAGAATTTCACATTTAAATTTTAAATCTAAATAAAATAAATATCGGACATCAAATAAAAACACAAAAGAGCATTATTACTATATTTTGGTCATGGTTGAATGGTATATAGACAGGGGAAAGGGGAAAAGAAACATCGTTTTTCAATGTTACTTGTTGGGACGGAGCATAGACAAGCGAACAAAGCCTATTTGTTGGGACGGCGCATAGACGAGCGAGCAATTGCAAGAAAAGAGGGGAGTCCGTTATAGAGCAATTGACTAGAAGTAGAAAACGGATGGCCTGAGAGGAGCCGGCAACCTCCTTCCACAGAAAATATTACTTACTATTTATGCATTGTTAAAAAACAATTATGTATATATAATAGATGTTGAACCTCTTCGATTAGTTCGTGTGTTTACTTCTTCAGATTTTGAACATCTTATTAAAAATCTTATCTCTATCACTGTATATAACTCATTAATTTGTTATTATAGTTGAATTCTATGGATGATGTCATTTTTTATATAGAGCATATAATCGTTGAAAACAAAAAAAAATTATTGTAAAGTTAGATATTTTAATTATTAAGGTAAGTATTAGATATCGAATAAAAATTTAAAAGCGTTGATTGTATTTTTGGTGTTAGTGTGTGGTCCACGCGTTGAATGGAGCGCGGTTTATTTAACGGAAGTGGTAGCATAATTAATAGAGGCGGAGTTGTGTTTATATGGCAACTGGCAAAAGAGGGAGAAACGGCAATATGTTTAACGGCGTTAGTTGACTGGTCACCATTCTTGGGGTCATTAAATTTTTTTTATTTTCTTCGAAAGACACCTAACCTAAGTTTGTTTTGCAAATATGACCACCCCCCCCCCCCCCCCAACAAAGAAAAATTCTATGTAAGAATTTTATTTTTCACTTTTTAAAAAAAAAATAAAAAAAAATAAGGTATTTCTTTTTATTTATCATTTAGTGTTTAGAGTCCACATTACAACCCGATTAAATCCAAATTGGACATAGGAGGGCCTATTTGGAGGTGGCGCTCCCAATAGGATTTGTCCATACTTAGAGCTTAAACTCAAGACCTCTAATTAAGGGTGAAACATTCCTACCGCTACACCACAATTTATGTTAATAGGTATGTTATCAATGAAAGGATAATTTTGTATATATTTTTTTTTGTATAATATGCTAGTTTTTGAAATTTATTGATTTGATTCATTTAATTTTGTATCGTGTGTGCTCATAAAAGAAAAACTTTTTAAAATCTTACTATGAGTGAAGAAATTTCATCTATCAAATAATATTTTAGGTTGATAAATGAAATGACTCATAATGCTAAATGTTTGAAATTTTGAATTTCTTATAAAATTCAGGTAAGTTTTTTTCATTTGAACTAGTTTTACAAATATGAATAAGGTTCAATACCTAATTTGACAGGATATCAAAGTCAGGTCAAAGTTACCCAAAAAGTTAGACAAATATTAGGAATAGAAATATCTCTAGTCCATGAAAGTGTGTGTTGATTTGAACATCAAAATTCTGAATAAAGAATATTTGAATCCAGCCACGAGGAAGCTGATGAATGAAATTTTTGATTCTTCATAAAACTTGGGTAATCCTTCTTTTTTACAATTAGTTTTTTGTGTATATATAAATTAGACCCAAAATCTAATCATAAGTGTGATGTATTAGTAGTTGTTTAAAACTTTAAATAATGGTTAATTTGGTAAACGTGGCCAAAATAATTACTATTTTTTATTTAAAAAAAAAAAAGAAGATGAGGGGCAATAGAAGAAGAGGAGGAGGAAATGGGGGAGGTATTATGCAAATTCGTAAAGACGTTTGAGAAGAACGTTGACCTGACTGAAAATCCATTGAATTCCGACCGCCGAATTTGAAATACTTTTATTTTATTTTTCACATATAGTCGGCCAGTTTTTTTTTTAAAAAAAAGTGTACTTATTCTCTATATTTGATTGGTTAAAAATTTTTGTATCCGTTTTACATATTTAATTTTAAAAAAAATATAATTTACTTGAATAAAAAATAATTTTATTATATAAAATAGAGATAAGATCTATGTATATTAATTTCATTTGATCTCGATAATTTCGAATTCATAAAAAACATTTTCTATGAAAAATCTTTTTATATTCAGAATTTATATTTGAAACTTTTAATTAAGAGAAAATGAACTTATCAATAATTTTATTCATTAAAAAATATTTTCATTCGTACCAAACAAACAATATAGATTCCTCATAGTTAACGCGTTGTGTAATTTTGGTGAATTTTTTCCACGAATGTGTTTGACAATTTAACAACGAGTCACAATCTGTTTGGCATTTAAAATATGTTTACAACTAACCCAACATATTTATTACTCTACTGCTCTAAAATAGCTCACTATAATTTAAATTGAATCTATGGATACTTTTTGGTGTTTGAACTTATTTTCTCCATTTATTTTTATTTGTTCAGTATTAACTTGATATAAATTTAGTTTTATTAATTATTTTTTAAATATAATAATTTTATATATTAAAAAATATACTAGAAAATGACTACAGTTAATAATAAGGATAAATTAGAATATAACCAACAAGGATTGTGGTGGAGTGTCGTTCATCTTTAATCAAGAGGTCTCAGGTTCGATCCTCCTTGAGAATGGAGTCACCTTTATTAGAGAGAGATTTACCCCCAATGTAGACTTTCCTATGTGAATCCGAATTTAGTCTTTATTTTTAGTATAATGAACGAAAAATATAAAAAAATTAGTTTCAAGAATAATCAAATCTTATTAAATATTAACTAAGTTGAAACATATAAAAATTTGAATCTTAAAAATTGCCTATGAGGTTTAAAGTTACGATTAACTTTTATTCTCATAACTCTTTTTTTAATTATTTTTTATTCGATGTTCAATATCCATATTGAAGTTCGATTAAATTCAAATTTGCGTTAAAAAAATCCACATTATGGAGTAAAATGCTTTCTAACAAAAACGACTCAATATTCAGAGAAATTCAAATTTGAAACCTTTGATTAAGGATAAACTTACCACTCAACAACAACTCTAAGCGGTGACTCTCATAACTCGTTGAATAAGTTTATAAATGTAAATAAAAGTGACTATTTAGCATTTTTGTTTCCTCATATAAGAACACGTGCTTGATACCAGTGTTTTAAAAGACTTTGTTGAGACTCGTTTCGGGGCTCGCTCTAGGCCGGGGCTCTAACAAAACGCCCTGAGACTCAAGTGTGGGGCTTAGTTCTATAAGACTTACACCCTAAGCGTCCGACTGTACGCCCTAAGCACGTCCAACGCTCTGGGCTCGCCTTATTGATCTTACACAAATTATGTGTTAGAAACTTTAGTTAACATTGTTGACCCTCATAATTCTTGAATAAATGAATGATAACTTAATATATTTTTAATCTATAGAGATAAGAATATCGAGAGTAACTCAAATAACAAATTGTAGTATCACATTTGTACTATTTGGTAATACTGTGAAGGTGATGATTTAGTACGTAACATTTCTTTTAAAGTATGTAGCGAAATTTTACTTTTCCACTTATCATTGGTCTTCATGGTTTTGTCATATGTCTCAAAATTATCATATTTTATTTAGCTATTTAAAAGTAATTTTATGTTTATTCATCATGGAGTGATGTTTTTATTATAATAGTAGTGAGTTTTATTGATTTTTTGTGTGTGTGTGGGGGGGGGGGGGGGGGTAAATTATATAGTATGATAAAAAAAAATTAGAAATAAAGATTCTTTTATTATAAAAAGTTAAGATGTTAGATTATTTTTACTTGTATAATCATGTTAGAAGTTTTATTTTCTATGAGTTTTCTTAATCATGTTTGTAATTATTTCAAACTATTGATGTTTTTTTATATAATTTTGTGTTATTATATTATTATACTATATTGTAAATTAAAAAAATTAAAAATTCATAGAGCTTACGCCCCACGTTTCGAAGCTTATGTCTCGCTCTATACTAAGTAAAACGCCCCACCTTACACGCCCACCTTTTAAAACACTACTTGATACAATGACTAATATCTAAATTTGTCTAAATTGGCTTACTTCTTTTGAAAATAAATGCAAACAAATAGTACTACTTCTGCTCCCAATTATTAGTTGTTTTTGCAATGTAAGTTATTTTAAATTTTGTCATAAAAAACAAAAGTCAATATAATTAGACCTTCCAACAATAATTATCTGTTATAATAATATTTTATTATAACAATAATTTATCGGTCAATCTTTCCTATTATGTTATATTAGAGTATATTTTATACTCTTTCTGCCTCAATATTTTTGAAACTCCATTGGAATTTGCAATTTCTATCATAGCTTATGCCCTTTTGGTGATCATATTGTGATAATTTGCTTACTATGTAATAGCTCACAAACTGCGCTGGAGATATAAATCACATTAGGCAAGCCTCATGCGACGAACTCATCATGGTTGAATAGCAAATGGAGGCTGGATTCGATTTATGTGATATATTTTAATTTTAAAATTCAAACAAGTTTTTTTAATCATAATTTTTCATATAACTTTTAAATATCATACATTATCAATAATTGTGATTTACAATAACTTTTATGTAATTTTTAATTTATTTTTAAAAAACTTAAAAAAATTATAACTCAATGCTCAGTCAAAATCAAATTATTTAACTCTCAAAATTCAAATTGTGTTATATAATTTGAGACAAAAAATAAAAATAG